TTTCAATTGAGTATTATACTAGAAAATCATAATGGAAAGCAAGAGGCAGATTAACGGAAAAGGAAGTGGAAATGTTCCGGCAGTGTGTTTCTGGGAATCGAATCAGTTCACAGGTGGAGAATTTGTCTCGGTAATACTGAGTAGTGGTCGAGTGGACTCCTGGTGGAACTGGCCCTGTCAAGTAGATTCACCTGAAAGCTTTAAATACTCTTAATTAAGATTTTATCTGCATACCGTAAACCGAATGGTGGGTAATAAAACCATCCTCATCCTGTGATAGGTAATTAAGCACTACACTCATTCCATGACAGATAATTAAGCACTACATTCATTCCATGATAGATAATTAAGCACTTCACTCATTCCATGATAGATAATTAAGCATTACACTCATTCTGTGATAGATAATTAAGCACTACACTCATTCTGTGATAGATAATTAAGCACTACACTCATTCTGTGATAGATAATTAAGCACTACACTCGTTCTGTGATAGATAATTAAGCACTACACTCATTCTGTGATAGATAATTAAGCACTACACTCGTTCTGTGACAGATAATTAAGCACTACACTCATTCTGTGACAGATAATTATGCACTACACTCATTCTGTGACAGATAATTAAGCACTACACTCATTCTGTGATAGATAATTAAGCACTACACTCATTCTGTGATAGATAATTAAGCACTACACTCGTTCTGTGATAGATAATTAAGCAGTGCACTCATTCCATGATAGATAATTAAGCACTGCATTCATTCCATGATAGATAATTAAGCACTACTCTCATTCTGTGATAGATAATTAAGCACTACACTCATTCTGTGATAGATAATTAAGCACTACACTCATTATGTGATAGATAATTAAGCACTACACTCATTCTGTGATAGATAATTAAGCACTGCACTCATTTCATGATAGATAATTAAGCACTGCACTCATTCCATGATAGATAATTAAGCACTACACTCATTCTGTGATAGATAATTAAGCACTACACTCATTCTGTGATAGATAATTAAGCACTACACTCATTCTGTGATAGATAATTAAGCACTGCACTCATTCCATGATAGATAATTAAGCACTACACTCATTCCATGATAGATAATTAAGCACTACACTCATTCTAGTGATAGATAATTAAGCACTCTTAACACTCATTCTGTGATAGATAATTAAGCACTGCACTCATTCCATGATAGATAATTAAGCACTGCACTCATTCTGTGATAGATAATTAAGCACTACACTCATTCTGTGATAGATAATTAAGCACTACACTCATTCCATGATAGATAATTAAGCACTACACTCATTCTGTGATAGATAATTAAGCACTACACTCATTCTGTGATAGATAATTAAGCACTGCACTCATTCTGTGATGGATAATTAAGCACTACACTCATTCTGTGATAGATAATTAAGCACTACACTCATTCTGTGATAGATAATTAAGCACTACACTCATTCCATGATAGATAATTAAGCACTACACTCATTCTGTGATAGATAATTAAGCACTACACTCATTCTGTGATAGATAATTAAGCACTGCACTCATTCCATGATAGATAATTAAGCACTACACTCATTCTGTGATAGATAATTAAGCACTACGCTCATCCAATCACAGGTGATTAAACACAACCACTATACAAGAAACCATTTTATTAACTAACTTCATAATTACAATGTCGTAGCCGGACCTCGGCAGGTCTCTCGAATATCAGAGTAATTAAGTAACCAATAAAAAAAAAAGGTAGTAATAAGGTGTGAAAATAAAAGGGGAATCTTACATTCCTATTGACATATGCGAATCACTGACTTGAGTATTCACGCACTCTCTCTTCTTGGTTGTTCGTCAGTGCGCAAACCAGGGCACACAACACAGAAGGTAGCTTGTATGGGGAGAATCTAATACATGGGCCATATCAAAAGCTCGCGTTTTTACGTAAGAGGAAAGTTTGTAGTTTGGTAACACCTGTTTTAATACAATTTTTTTTAGACAGGTGATAGGCACAAATATATGTATATATTTTTTTTAGTGTCAGGCATTTTTGGTACCGTATCATTTACTTCGTGATGCGAAGAACAAAATAGTTTTTGATATTGACATTATCAGATTATATTAATTATACGTTGGAAGTACACCTATAAGATGGTCATCATTCCCTTAGCCACGTTCCGGGGGTGTGTGTGTGTGTGTGTGTGTGTGTGTGTTGTGTGTGTGTGTGTGTGTGTGTGTGATATTGTGCGTGTTTCTTTGTAATCTAGTTAGCTGTCCCGAAGATGGTCTAATTTGTTAAACTCTTAGTGTTCAGTAAGGGCTTGTGTGATTCCCTTTTGTGCATGTGTTTATGTACTATATGATGCAGAAATGAGGCTTTGAGCTTTGAGGGAATCGCCTTTGATCTCCAACTAACTGAGGACCTGACAATGTATAATTCAACATAATATTCCTACGTGGTAGCGTCAGTTGAGCAGAGAGAAGACCTATTTACAATTGAGAATAATTACACAGTCAGTCGTCAGCTACTTGGTTCGACAATTTTCATAAAGGATTTTTTCCAGAGTTGCAGAACAAATGCATATTGATTATAAATGTATATCCCCCATTCAGAAAAATATTCCAGGACATTTGCAAATTGTATTTGGTGCAGAGAACACTGTGAAATCGCACTGTCAGGAGATGACTAATATGCGTTGGAAGAATTTGTCTTTGTCGTCCTCAGCTGGAAGTTGTGTACTGAAAGTGTTGGTCGTTGTCGTCGTAGGGTTTAGTAAGATGTGTGTTGCAAGGTGCTGGTCGTTGTGAAGACAAGCTGCTGCAGTAATAAGTCAGTGTCGGATGCAAATGAAAAACTTGCAGATGGCTAATATAATACATCAAACTGTTTTATTTTTTAATTTCCTCAATATAAATGAAAGCTTCTTTGAAGACCAAACTGTACACTTCATTCTTACACGTGTAAATCTACCTCCTGAAAAGGACTGAATTCCCGACACTAGCGCGGTTGTCTTGACAGCAATACAAAAGTGGCTTGGGACTCAGACTGACAACAAACACGTCAGGCAGATACCTCCCTCGGACATCCTTTTAGGGGGGAGCATGTTACAGGAAAAACACAAGCATGTAAAGCGAGATATTATTTGGGCAACGTTTCTCTGTAATAGAGCTTTATTAATGAATCGATAGAGCTCTACGTAAAGTGAAGCGTTTTCCTAATATATGCTGGTTCTTCACACTAGTGTCATTCCATATACTTGCCAGCATTTTTGCCCTCCGAGGGCTAGTTATAGGAAAATAATCTTTGCGGTGAACAAGTCTAAATGGACTACACTAACCTATCTAAGGAATCCTCTGTATTCATCAACATAGTCTTTTAAAACCACAAGATCTGACCAGGAATCCAGCATACTTCACTAAAATATAAAACAGCCAAGGTTTTTTGTTTTACTAGCTTAAACCATTAATGGCGGCTTTCACTATATAAACCAGAGAACCTCACAGGTCTCGAGTCTTATAAGATGAGATTCACATACCTAAATGTACTTCAAGAATGTGGACGACTTCCATGTAACAAAAAATTTTAAAACTATATATATATATATATATATATATATAATATATACATATAAAAAGAACCGTGTTTTTAATTAGACATCATATGCTTCCACTATATTTTTTTCTATTTTTAGTAATTTCTAGAGATAACAAACATATGTGGTCAATTTGCTAACAGACACATTTGTTTCAACATGTTTTGACACATCCTCAACACGTGTATGTTGAAGATATCTCAAAACATGGCTCTGGGACAACAGGTGAGCGAGAATTTTTGTACTTGCTTGTAATCAAATGTATATTATGCATGTCTTAGGACTCAGTGGTGCTGAATCCATTTTATTTTTTTCCCAGCTCGACTCGCCTCGTTGTTTCCAAGCCTTACATTCGTATATTTGTCCCTCTAGCAGGAAGAAAAAACAACCAATCTATATTTCGTATTACTCTGATAGGAATACTTTTAAGATGTCCCTGAAGCAGAGGTTCAAAGGGGATTCATGGGCAAGGTTAGAGATCACTGATTTAACATTCACTTGAGTTAAACTCATCCAGTAATACATCATCCTTATACACACACATACATATACAGTAAACTTCAAGACGTGTGTGTTATTACATGAAATAGCTTAGGCCTTTCCTCTTTTTTATTATTCAGTGTACTATCCAGTATAATCGCAATTAAGCCATCGTTAATTTTAATATTTCTAAGGGTTTATTTTTGGTTTGTTTACAAACCAAGTTAATTTTTTTTTTTTTTTGTCTTCAGAATTTGCTGCGACCCTCAATGTGGCTGTGGCTCGAGCCTTGCCCATGCTTCCAGAACTCTCGACCTTACAGAATTGACAATAACCAATTTTACACAAATTTCCCCAATACCCCAACTTTTTATATAGATTTTTGTCTCATCACACAGTTCGTAATTATCAGTTTTAAAATAAAGTATATAATAACAGCTTACGGAGCACCGTCCTTCCTTTGGCTAATCTCTCTTTCTTTCTCTCTCTCTCTCTCTCTCTCTCTCTCTCTCTCTCTCTCTCTCTCTCTCTCTCTCTCTCTCTCTGTCTCTCTCTCTACTCACACACACACACACACACACCTCATCAGGAAAACGAGAATACAGTTAACTATAATTATTTAACAATATCTGAACAGCGAGATAGTCGATACGCAAGAGGCTGGAATACTACGTTGTGACTACAACCCCCACTGGTTTAACGCGCTTCCCAATGCTGTTTGACAGCGCCGAACTGTAATTTTATGGGAGGGGGAGGAAAGGTAAGAAAAGTAGCAAACAATAGGAAAAAATTGTATTAAGGAACATCACAGGTTGTGTGTGTGTGTGTGTGTGTGTGTGTGTGTGTGTGTGTGTGTGTGTGTGTGTGTGTGTGTGTGTGTGTGTGTGTGTGTGTGTGTTGTGTGTAAGAAGTATCAGAACAACAAAGTTACAAAATACAAAGCTGCGAAAGTTCTACGACTGATGTTCCGGTCAAGCTTCTTCTCTCAACTTTGAAGAGGTTGTTGTATTATCTATTATAAACGTTGTTGTAGTTGTAGGTGTTGTGGTTGTAACATATGCAGTGACTGTGGCTTTATTTTAGTGGTAGTAGTAGCGGTTGTTGTTGCTTCTTCTCAATATACCACTGCTTTTATAATTAGGTGAAGCCCTAAACCCGTGTGTGTCATTTAACTGGTGGAGGCTCGATCCTCCGTCCACTGACCCCGAGCAGACGTGCAGAGCACGAAAGACCTACCAACAAAAAACGTGTTTTAGTCATATTTCACAAGTCTAAAACATGTTTTATTTGCTTAGCTAGACTGATAGATCTGCTTCTCACGACAGTGACAAGACTTATTTATATTAAATTCATAGGGAAGCGTTAAATCTGCACTGGCTGTCCAGCACCTGGGAAAAAGTGAGACAATTAGGTTTGATTAAGGGGTTGAGATTAGCTCAAGTTCCTTGGATCTGGATTTCTCCAGCATCCAGTCACGCATCTTGAAAGAGCCTCGTTAACATTTTGTAAAAATCTGACCTAGCTGTAGTCTGGTAATTTTCTTATTCAGTGGTAAACACCAACTTGAACTACCACTAATTACTTAATGCACCTTCAAGGTGCCTTGATACTAGTGATGTGATCTTAAATCATCAAATTTAGTTTGTCGCCGAAGCAGATATGAATACATCAAAGTCCTAGGAACTAGACCCCACATGAGGTTAGCAGGAGTACATCTGGATTAATATCTACAAAACTGTTGTATTGTTGTATAAGAAATTAAGGTATTTATATCTGTATTTTACTTTCACTAATGCATCTGGACAAATATAAAGATATTAAACAAAGTGCCCAGCCCTATGGTCAGTATCTCGAACACTATGGGCTCAATTGTTAACTTATTGAGGAATATAGATAGTATAATAACCTATGTGATATATCAAGATATCTTATTAATGAAAATAAGATACCTGACATTAAGCAAATTTTCTAAATTTGCTTGTAACCGGTAAGTGATCTGTAGATATAAATCCAGATGTACTCCTGTTAACGCCTAGTTCCTAGATCTTTTGTGTATCCATATGCTCTTGTGCTACCCTCCACAGGATGGATATGGGATGCACAATAATCCAGTCACTTCGGTGGCAAAATCGAAGACTGAACATTAAAATGGTATAAAATACCGACAGGTTGTTAGGTAAGACACATAAGCAACAGTTAGGTATCTTTATTTCGAAACGTTTCGCCTACACAGTATTGTTTCAGACTTTGGAACAGTGCTCTTCTCCAGACTGAGGGACTGACCACCTCAAAACTTTAAGGGTAATGGACTGATTACATCGTCTTCAAGTCTCTTCTGCTTCTATCAACTTTTCTGTACTCGACTGAAGAAGCCTACTGTGTAGGCGAAACGTTTCGAAATAAAGATACCTAACTGTTGCATATGTGTCTTACCTAACAACAAAATCAAAGATATTAAACTGGCTTAAATCAAGGAATAAGTCTATTACACTTGTGCTGTATGAACCCTTACTGTTTTACCGCATCTTCGCGAATATAATATTAATAATAATAACAGAATACATAAAACATTATTCCATAGGAGATAGAAGCGTAACTTAACAACGTCAGTTATCTGGGAAATAACTTGCTCTGAAACTTCACATTAATCAAAATTATTAAAATTAATTGGTGAAAATCGATAATTTATTTGCTGGAAATATTTCGAAATGGTACTATATATCTGTTCTATATTAGCTGTAAGAGTTACAGTTTTAAGTTCTCTCTGAACTGTGGTTTAGTTTTGCCTTTCTCCCAGCTTCCATGCTGTGATTTCTTCTTGTAAGTTCGTGTTAAAGCCAGTCAAGTTAGAGACGCCTTGAGCCTACTGACTGTTATTACCTAAGTGAGGGTTCTGCAGATTAATGATACCTTGGCACCCGGGAGATGAGTACCTCGCTGCCTCTCAGCCAGTTCAAATTCTCAACTCTTCGGTAAATTAGACACATGTGCAACACTTGAGTATCTTTATTGAGGAAACGTTTCGCCACACAGTGGCTTCATCAATAAAGATACCCAAGTGTTGCAAGTATCTAATTTATCAATTTGTCGGTTCTCTGAACCATTTATCTACAACTCTTCCGTAGTCCTGACTGGAACCATAAAACGTACTGCTGACAATAGTAAAAACATGACACATGTTGCACAACAAGTTTTACTGGGACAGCATTTCGCTCCGTGTAGAGCTTTATCACGGCTTTATCATAGCTTGATGAAGCTCTATAGACAGCAAATATTGTTTCAAATACATCTTGTTTTTTCTCCTCTTGACCTGACTGACATGTAATGTTTTATAATGGGACGATTCTCCTTTTTTTGTCCACATTATTCAGACGTTTATACTAATTTGATTGAATACTCATGACTAAAACAGAATGACTCTTATACCATGACAAAAGTAATGTTTTCTCTAGTACACACACACACACAACACACACACACACACACACACACACACACACACACACACACACTTTCTATACCTAATGTTAAAGAGACATTGATTCTGCATTGGCGTTTCACAAACAAAACAAAACAAAACACAAATCTGATGGTAACAAGAAGTAACAAGATAATAAAGAATAAAAGTATAAAGCTGCCTTGTTTACTAGTAAGGGAGGAAACACGTGGGTCTGTGACGGTAACACTCTCACAATAGACTCTGGTACAATGAGAAAAAATGAATTATAGAACGATAAGCACAATACCTACAGCATACGAAATTGGAATTTTTTATTTACATTTATTACACCTGACGATAAATATTAATGTACAAAGTAGATAGTATGTTGGGAAAGGAGGAGGAGTAGAGAGGAATGATGGGATGATGGGGTTGTGGGGTAAAGAAGATTACAAGGGGTGAAGGAGGAGGAGGAGGAGGAGCAGGAGCATCGTCATCATTATCAACATCATTATCGTTACCTCTCTCCTCCCTTCCTCTCCCTACGTTACAGTTCCAATAGCTGTCACCACCGTATTTTGTAGAGTTCGTCACCACTTATTTTGGTCACTTAAAAACGACACTCAGTCGGTGGCGGCTCCTAGGAAGATGGGCCAAGGAAAGAGCCTCTCAGTACACAAGGAGAAAATCCTGACGTAGCAACAGGAGGAGGAAGGGAAGTCGGGAGTGAGGGAAGGGAAAATGTAGAGTATAATAGGTGAGAGTGGTGGAGGAGAGGAAAGGAAATTGATTTTGGGATTCGCTGATGATCAAGTCTCTGTCTTGCACGTGACGTGTTCTAGTCTTGTTTAGACTTTTCTGTGTTTTGCTTTTTTTAAGTTTTTCCTGTCCAGCACTCGGCCGCCAACCTGACTCTTTTAATATTTTCTTTTAGCAATTTGTTTGTACACTTCACAATGCCTGGTGAGCCTATTCATTTTTTTTTTTTTGTTTCTTCTTTGCTCTTTTTCACTTGAACACTGACTTGCAGCCCTGTACCACAGCTCACGGTATACACTGTAGCGGTTACGATACCGTTGCCCCAGTACGCTGGTCTCTCACGCCCACATATCCCCGGAAATGGTGGGGAGTGGGTGGTGGTGGTGGTGGGGAGCTAGAGCCGGGGCAGGGGGCAAATTGGGGCCTACGGCAGCGGCGGTTGCGACGGCGGCGGCGGCGACGGGACAGGACGCCTGCACTGGTCAAGGCTTAATAGTATTGGGTGTTTGGGGGGTGTTAGGCTGATGCCCCGGGGTGCCACCCCCAGAGGAAGGTGTGCCACCCCCCGCCCCGTTCGCCGCCGCCTCCTGCGCCGCCTGTCTCTGGCTGTTCTTCTTGTTCTTCATGCGGCGGTTCTGGAACCATATTTTGACCTGTCGTTCAGTGAGGTTGAGGTTACGCGCCAGCTCCCAGCGCTTCTGCTTGGAGACGTAGGCGTTGTAGAGGAACTCCTTCTCCAGCTCCAGCGTCTGGAACTTGCTGTAAGGCTTCCGCTTCTTCCTCACTGTCATGGTCCCCGTCCATTCTTGAGGGATGGAACCCAGTGCCCCTGTAACGCAAGATTACAAAAGTCAGAACTCTGTTACGTCAAGATTAATGCATCACCGGTAACACTTCAGATTAAATACATTAAAATAATACTTCCGATTAAGACATTAAAAGGAATACCTCAGGTTAATACATTAAAAATAATCAGATTAATACATTAAAAAGAATACATCAGATTAATACACGAGGAATATTGCCTCTGTAGTAATAGAGAATGAAATATCAGATTAATGCCCTCCCGATGGATCAGGACCTGATCAACCAGGCTGTTACTGCTAGACGACATGCGGCCAGCAGTAACAGCTTGGTTGATCAGGCCCTGATCCACCGGGAGGCTTAGTCGTGGACCGGCCCGAGGGAGCGTTGACCCCCGGAATACCCTCCAGGTAGGTTAATAGAAACCATCCCATATGGAGACAAAGGAAAAAGTTCTCCTATATATCTAGAACTTAGCCACGGATCCTCTTCATTCTACTGAAGAGGACCTCAAACCGAGGTCGAAATATAAAGAGCAACTCTTTCCTGCTCTCTTCATGCAAGTTGATTCGCATCATTAACAATTATTCATGACTAATACCTTACTTACCATAAAGAGGAAAAAGGCATAATACCGTGACCTGAACAATGCACAAATAAGCCACACATAGAGACATAGAAAAGCTTACGACGACGTATCGGTCTGACTTAGACCATTTACAAAGTCGTAAACTTCTCTCTCCTATGTCCGGGCTGTGTGTAATGATTTATCATACTCTAAGGTTTATTACATAGAGAATAAAGTCAGTAGTTTTTACTCGTTACTGATTAAACCTGATTGGCAAAAGATAATGGTGTTTGGTATGAGGCTCAACACACGTTTCACACTGTCCTTTGTAGCAATGTATTACTGGAAATTGGCAGATATAGAATAGTGTATCGTAATGATTGCCACAGACGGTAGTCAAAAATAAAAAAAACAACGCAAACGAGAAACACACACACACACACACACACACACACACACACACACACACATACACACACACACACATACACACACACGCGGAGAGAGAGAGAGAAGACCTCTCACATTTGGCATTTGCCCTGTGATCCCGCCAGCAGTGTTGCCAAGACGTTGCACCAACCTTATGCAAGTCAAACCATCCATACTATATCCCTCTACCACGTATAATTACCAAGCTCACATCTCGCCAAGGACCTGGTCAATAACCACGGAGAAACATATTCTGCCCTTCCCGCTAGATGACAGCAGGAAGCACAAATGCTGCGATAATCCACAACTCTGGCACCACCCCCAATGAGTGTTCATCTGACCCAGTGTTTGGGTCTTGTAACGTTCTCAAGGACAACCCTCCCACCTCCTCTCTCCCTTTTTTGTTAAGTTTCGATTCTTTAGAGAGAGAGAGAGAGAGAGAGAGAGAGAGAGAGAGAGAGAGAGAGAGAGAGAGAGAGAGAGAGAGAGAGAGAGAGAGAGAGAGAGATTGATGCATTTTGTTTTATGTGACTGAATTTTTTTCTGCTGAAAATATAACGGTTAAATAATGGTCTGTCTACATTGATGGATTATGCTTATGATCCTATAAACTAGTGGAACTACCTCAGTTCACTTAAACTGTATTATCTTTAGCTGATAGGACACAACTGAACACTTAGGACATCTTTACAGTTATACACTAGATGTACGAGAAAATGAGGAAAAAATATTTATTGAAGACTGCTTGTCATTTGGAATGCATAATGCCCAGTACAGAAACGAATCCAATATCTCCTAATTATAAAAAGTCTGTCCTCTTATCCATATAGTTAGTATCAACGTACCGTACTTCTGTCTTCATAACAATCTCTGCAGGGAAAATACTTGAGGTCCAGGTCCAAGTTATGGGAGTGAGAGATAAGGCAAGAGGTGGAGAATAAATATATTGAAAGAGAGGAGATAAGCACATTTAGAGAAAAGTGTCAACAAACGAGATCCACGAGTCATCGTTAAACCAGCATGAATAAGAAATATTACTGGTAAAAAAAAGGATAAACGTTTATGGGAAACAACTGTACCACTGGTAGCAACAAGTGCCAGATTAGCCAAATTGTGATGGATGTACATGGCTGAGAACCGCCGGGATCTTCAGCCTGATTGACTAGGCAATAAACAAGGAAGTCTGGCTTCAGGCCAGGCTGCGAGAGTTAGAACCCTCGAAACTAGTTACAGGTTCGTCACAGGTACAGTTTGAAAACTTCGCGACTCTTCAATCTTCTACCAGCAGGTATTATATATGATGAGTAAGACTCATATCCAGCAGTTGGAACAATATTGTTCCAGACCGTGGAGCTGAACTCTTTTCCAGGCCGAGAGGCTGACAACCTCAATTTCTACAAAGTTGGTGGACTGACTGCATCATCTTCACCTCGTCATTTCTGTTGCCTTCAACCTATACTCTGTATTTGACTGAAGACGGCTACCGTGTAGCCGAAACGTTTCAACAATAAATATACCCCTTGTTGCCCATGGGTCTTTATCATCAACTTGTCGGTATTTTATACCATTTTCAACATACAATATGTTGTCTGAATAATGTAGAAGTTTTCACAAGGGAATATAACACGTTCAAAAACGAGATGCCTGATCAACCAGGTTGTGAGAGTTTTACGAGCTTCTAGCCCGCGTCTAGTAACAGCTTGGCTGATCCTTCATCCGCCAGAATATGTAACCTATTGAGCTCTGACTCATATGTGTACCTATGTAGTTCAGCTTTTAAATATCTTATTCGTGATTATTTGTAGTCACAAGAACAGATTCGTAGACTCTTTTGTCTCACTGTTTGTTTACAACTGAGCCTCGCCATCCCCTCCCTTTTACACGACACATTCCACCAATACCAAGAGACCTTTACTTCAAGGTGATTTATTAGCACTAAGTGTAAGGAGACTAGACGTATATCTTAACGGATGTGAGCTCAGGATCAGTCGATTGTGGGAAAAACGGTTTGACTATTTAGCTACAAGGCACCAGACATGCTTTTTCTTAGTGTGCTTAGGGCGTGTTTGTGCCCTTAAATTAAAGAAAATAATGCAGAACTGTACTTAAGTTTTCCTGAGGACCGAAGCATCATCACTAGCAGTACATATTCGTACTTAGCTAAATGACTTGCAATACAACCTTTTAATGTAACTTGTATGTGAAAGATAAAATTAAATTTATCAAAGGGAACTAAAGGAAGTTGTATAAAGTTTTTCAGTCGCTCCAAAGTTGTCCTGGAAGTCTCTTTCCCCTTCAAGGTGCCGGTCTTGGGGGAGAGAGAGAGAGAGAGAGAGAGAGAGAGAAGGAGGGAGAGGGAGAGAAAGAAATAAGGTAAAAAGTTTCGACAAAACAAAACTTTACATAATTTGACTTTATGTATTGCTTCTTGTATTTCTTTGTCCCTCATTTAGCTTCCTACTTCGTTTCTCTCTCTCTCTCTCTCTCTCTCTCTCTCTCTCTCTCTCTCTCTCTCTCTCTCTTTCTCCTTTACTATGGATAAGGAATTATGAGATATACCTATCAGTATCTCACATATTACTATATTCAGATTAAATGTGTATAATATACAATGCACTTAAAGGTCGCGGTAAGGAGTGAACTATTAACAAATATATATCATATTTTACAAGTCAGATTTGAACCCTTGAACACACCCTCCACCTGGGCATGGCCAAACACAGGTACTCATACCATTCGGCCACAGATGCCCCATAACTTTGGGTAAAAAAAGTGGACGTTATCTGTTGTTTTATCAATAAAGTTGGGCACACTAGGAAATTTAAGTGTTACTGGCTATATATACTAGCTAAACTATGTTTAGAAAACCCTAACTACAGAAACTAGTGAAATATTTAAAATTATATCAGGCCATCAGCAGGATTCGAATCCATGAACTTATCATCCTCCTGGGCAGTTACTCCCACGAGGTGGCTCTAAGATAAGATAAGATAAGATTTCGTTCGGATTTTTAACCCCGGAGGGTTAGCCACCCAGGATAACCAAAGAAAGTCAGTGCGTCATCGAGGACTGTCTAACTTATTTCCATTGGGGTCCTCAATCTTGTCCCCCAGGATGCGACCCACACCAGTCGACTAAACCCAGGTACCTATTTGCTGCTAGGTGAACAGGACAATAGGTGTAAGGAAACGTGTCGAAATGTTTCCACCCGCCGGGAATCGAACCCGGGCCCTCCGTGTGTGAAGCGGGAGCTTTAGCCACCAGGCCACCGGGCCCTAAGTTGTGGCACATGTGCCACAACCTTGGCTGGAGAGCAAATGCTACATGAATATTGTCTGTTGTCCACCCAGTGTGGTGTGGCATCTGCAGCTGAGTGGGTAAATCACCTGAATATGAATCTCTCTCCAGGTAGAGGGTGAATTTGTGGTTGGAGTCTGCCTCCTGACCTGAGATAAATATTTGTAAATATTTTTCTCCATTCTCCAAACATGAGCAGTGTAAATATCTCTCGTGGGCCATCGTATAAAATGTGGATAAGAAGAACCGGCTGATGCCACTCAAAGTTGCTAGTGTGTCTGGCTTTGGCAAATAACGGATAGCATCAACTGTCAGTCCAGAGTTATGGAGGCATCTGTTGCCATGTGAGCTACAGTCAAGCACATGATTTTGACTACGCCCTAGCGGAGAGGGAGTTCATTAAGGGTAGACATACATGGCGAGCAGTAATACTTCTAATAGTTATAATCGTAACCATGATTTTTAAAGATGTGGACCGGTAAGCCATCGGAAGGCCTCGGTCAGATGACCAAATACTCCAGCTGTGGGTCAACAAATAACTAAGACCAGCGTCTTGAAACACTTGCTCTGTTTCCTGACAAACATTATACCTACCATACATGGTGAATCTTCATTGTTTTGTGTGTTGTTGTGTGTGTGTGTGTGGTGCGTGCGTGTGGGTATGCTAAAATTTGCAAAAGCGAATTATTTACAAACATTGTCTTACGTCACAGCAGGATCGAACTTGCAAA